GAGGCCCATCCCCTACGACGTTCCGTTGTGTCCAGGGCCATCTCGAGGCCCTCTCAGCAACCTCGCCCAGTTGTTTAAGTGTCCGTTTGCGTTCATTACCTAGTAAGCCTAGTTGTTTAAACACATTGTAAAGTGAAGAGAAACGAGACCTCTTGCACCTACCTCGACGGCGAAGAATCGTACTGTGGACGCTTCGTTTCTCCTCAGACCGGCTGCTAAGTCACTGTATTTCTCGAGCTTATACATATGGCTTTCGTCCAATCGCACCTCCTACGGCACGGTCAGCTCAATCAGGATGAGCTGACGTTTCTTCGCAGAGTGGAGAACTATGTCAGGTTGCAGGCCGGTCTTCCGGGTTAACTCAGGGTACTTTTCATGGCCAGGCAGGTCAACCGCCAGTAACCAGTCCCTCGCACAGTCTGGCATAGATGGAGAGTATGCGTTTTTGTTGAATTTACTTTTGTGAATCTGCCCAGCCGTAAGGAAGCGTATGGAGACGACGGTAGGACTGGCCATCGCATTGGCCCTTATCCTAGCTTGGTCCACAAAGGCTGCTAACTATTTAAGCACCTTGTTGTGGCGCCAAGTGTATCTGCCTTGATCTAGGGCTTTTCTGCACGCGGACAGAACGTGCTCGAGCGTTTGATCAACTCTGCGTAGCGGGCATGACTGGTCGATAGTCGCACTACACTTGACCATGTTGACACCAGACGGTAATGCACCATAGACCGAACGAACGATGAAGCTCAGTCGCAGTGAGGTCATTCGTCAGATCTCGACCCATGTGAGTATTCTTGGCAAGGCGCTGTCCAGGTTGATCTAATGGCCCTGCTGCGACTGTTGGGCTGCTTTCTGAACCTTAACCTCGTTTTCTTGTCCCTAATTTGCTGTATCACCATGTCTCGGCGCTCTTTGGCTGTGGCTTTGGACCTCCAACTGACTTTCCCGTGACCTAGGCCTCGACGGTCGGTCTGAGTGTAACCCATAATTTCCCTTAATTTTAGTCTATTATGGACAGATTCGATCGCATCTAGGACCTTCCACTTCAGACCAGTTTTTAGAGTGGGCTAGACAGCGATGACATTTGGGTCTGAAGAGTCGCGCAAGAACATGCGTCTTACTTTGCCGACTTTAAACTCTTCGGTTATTGATTTGAACGGGAGTACCAGCTTAGCCTATTTAAAATACAGAGCCACGTCAGTCAGACAAGGCGGTGCACCAATCCACTTCCTCAAGGCTGTGTTGATTTTTCGCTCCATCGTCTCCACTGCAGTCATCGTCACTTTGTAGACTAGCAGCGGCCAGAGGAGATTTGAAATCAACATAAATTGGAGACACCAGACCTTGAACTTCCCGATCAGCCTGCTTCGCTCAATCGCGAGCAGGCCTGTAGCCAGTGACTCGTGTATTCGCTGGACCTCTGTTCTACCAGTTAACTTCGAATCGTAAACGCGCCCAAGGCTCTTCACCGGTTCCTCTAGAACCGTGGGGATCCGATTCCTTACACACCGTAAAACTGGTTGCCGCTACATTACCTTTAAGGATTGACAGACTCCTCGACTTCTGCGGTTTGAGTTGCATACCGCTCCTTTGGACCACCTCGTCGAATCTTTCCAGAATTGTGCGAGCAGATTCCTCACTGCCCGAGATTTTAGTCGTGTCATTCATAAATGCACGTAGTGGCGGCATCCAGTGGTCTCCAATTTGAAGGCATTGTCCGTAGCCGGCCGCCCCGTCTAACATGACCTGCATGACCATGACGAATTGTATTGGTGAGATCGTACATCCCATAGCAATCCCAATTTGTAGCTCAGTCCACCTCGTGGTAAACGTCGAGGTAGAGAAGCCCCAACCGAACTTAAAGAAATATTGTTCGATCATTCCGTTGATCTGTGTCGGTACGTGAAACATGCGAAGGGCCTGCCACAGTAGCCTTTGGAGAACTGCCCCATAGGCGTTGGCGAGGTCCAACCATATAACATGCAATTCGGTTCTCTCATGCTTGGTTCTCTGGATAAACTCCCAAATCATGGTTGCGTGTTCAAGGCAACCAGGGACGCCCGGGATTCCACCTTTCTGAACACTCGTATCGATGTACATGTTCGCCATCAGATACTGTGTGAGCCGGCGAGCCATGACCGAGAAGAATATTTTGCCCTCTGCTTTTAACAGCGAGATAGGCCTGAATTGGGAAAGACTCGTCGAGTCCTGCTCTTTGGGAATGTAGACCCCGTTGGCCTGTTGTCACTCCCGACACATATGTTTTCGGCTCCACGCTTACCTCAGGAGGCGGTGAAGAATTCGTAGGACTTTCGGACAACGCTTGTAAAGAACGTACGGAACACCATTCGGACCTGAAGCAGACTTGCCGCTGGCTCCTTTCACAACTTCCTCGACCTGAGACCATGAGGGAGGTATCACTTTAAATGATACCTTCGGCAACTCAGGCTGCTTAAGGTCGCTAAGGATCTCTGGATTGTTATCGAGGGGCTCATTCCTCTTTTTGTCAAAGTAAATTTTGTGTAAATGTGACTCAAGCTCCTCCTTACTGACAACCAGAGTCCCAGACTTCGGTTGCTCGAATAGACCTTGGGCAAACTGGAACGGGTCCCTAAAGAATTTATCTCGCTTCCTTTTGGTTCTCCGTCTGTTGTTACAGAAACGCTCAGCGCGACAAAGGGCACTGTGTCTGTTTCTTAGATGCAACGAGACTTCATACAGCCCCCCCCCCCCCCCCCCGTTCGCTGCCAGTAGCGGCTTTGAACTGTTTTCTGAGTGCATTCTTGTCTACCCGGCACTTCAGAATGTCCCTCTGTCTCCTGCTTATATTCTGCTTGACGCCCAGCGGCGCCTTTTCGACTGTCCCGAACTCGCTGAAACAGTGCTCGTATATTACATTACCAAACTTTGTAAGCTTATCACCTAATGACTTCTTTTTCAAATCACGAATTAGTTTCTCACATAATGTACCTTCTAGCGTACACTACGACACCTTATCGCTTGCAGGTGGGAACATGATCTTTAAATGCACTTCCTCAGGAATAATCAAATGTGCGCCTTCATGGGCCTCTCAGGGCGAGTGGTGTATACCCTGCCCGTCGTTTCCTAACGACTCAGAAACCACCACAGGAGTAGTAGTTTAGCGACGGCGTTTACTACGTGGAGCACCCTCGCATTTCATCCTAAGTTTTTAGACCATGCAACCCCGTGAAGCTTTTTCCACATGTACAGAGCCAACCCGGCCGTTGGGCGAAAATCGGAGTTCGGGGGCTAGCAGGGTCGTTACCGTTTGTAAAGAAATGTATCAGCATCTGAGGTTAGTCCGAGCTCCAGGTTCAGTGTTCTTCAGAGCAACTGAAAGATTCAGGATTACACGCTGAGTATCAGTAGATGATGCCCTTAGTATTATTACTAGGGCTGTACCGAATAGTGATTTTCCCTATTCTGCTGAATACGAATAGCGGGACCAACTATTCGGCCGAATACGAATACGAATAGTGTATAATGTATAAAATATATCTTGAAAAAAAAAAGTTAAACACATTCATAATGTCAAATGTACGCTGAACTTTTACTTCACATAAAGTAGCACAGAATAGTCATCTTTTTCTTTTGCCTTCTGAGCCCTTCAGGTTTACTGCTACAGATAGCACTCGTCTCCATTCATCTCTATGGCTGGCCTTATCTTGACAATTTGTGATACCAGTTGTTTGCATGTCTGGCTGGACATTATCTCTCGAACTTCTTTTTTTTTTGCCTCGTGGTCTACGCCCATTCCTCTCTTAGGCGTTTACAGTTTTTACTTGTCTGTCATCTGACATTCTTTCAATATGCCCCAACCATTTTAGTCTGTTAGCTCTCATGATGCCAGTGATCAATGGTGATTTAAACAGATTATGTGTTACGTTGTTGCTTCTCACTCTCCATTCTCCGCTGTTAGCATCTTTGATAGGTCCAAAGATTTGTCGTAAGACTGTTTTCGAAAACCTGTAATAAGGCCTAATCTCTTTTTTTTTTCTGCTTCAAGTTTCAGAGCCATATAAAACGACTGGTTTTATCAACGTTTTATATTTTTTGATCTTGGTGTTGCGAGACAGACACATTGATTTTTGCAGATGTTGAAAGGCATAGAAAACTTTATTTCCAGATTGAATTCTAGATCGTATTTCTTTTCTCACATTTCCAGATTGTATTCTAGATTGTATTTCTTTTCTCAGCCTGTTGGAGCAGTTGAAGTTTGCACCTAAGTACTTATATGTTTCCGTTCGTTTGATTTTCATATTATCGACTTGGATGTGGCCGGAGTTTATATTCTTTCCATGTCTAGTTAGTATTCGTACAGAATAGTAAACATTTAAAAACATTTTATGTTTTGCATCTTTCAGTCAGTCTGTGGTAACTAATAACTAGGAATGAAAGAATCCTAAGTATTATAACAAGTACCTAAACGTGGAAATTGTCACTGACAGCTTAGTTAAAGCAGGAAAGCTGCTTTAGCTATGAACAAAACCAATCGTTCCATGTTGTCAGCATTAAGGCAGTGTATGCAGAAGCGGGTGTAGGGTAACTACTATTCGTATTCGGCCCGACCGCAACTATTCAGCCGAATACCGAATAGTCAATAGGTCCACTATTCGGCCCCGAAGCGAATACGAAGCGAATATTCGGTACATCACTAATTATTACGTCAGTGGGTATAGACTGAGACTTCCTGTAGAGTATTTGAGATATGCGTAGTACATATAATAAATTATTTCCCAAACGTGTTTGGGCCATAGCACCCTTTTCAGCTGAAAAATCCCCCTCACTCGCAAATAGCATCATAATTTTGTTCCACGATGCAAACCATAGGCAGTCACCATGTGCCGTCCTATGCAATCAGCAGAATCACGGATCAGGTGATGCACTTGTACCGCCCCATGCATGTGGCGACGCTATCAGGAAATTTTTCTGTATGATTTCACCTTTCTTCTTGCTATGAGTTTTGCTAGTTGTCACCAACTTTTCTAGTTTATACCTTGCATAAAAATGTAGCTTCTGTATGTATTCAAGCAAAAAAAGAATGATGTAGTGGCAATTTTGTTTTTTATCGTCTTCTTTCCTCGCCTTAACATGCTCTGGCTTGTATCTGATGTAGTATTCACCCCAATTCGACATCATAGGTTGTTTTAAAAGTGTCTTTAGCGTTTGAAAGCTCTGAAACAGATGGAGCTGCACGAGATTGTAGCTTTCGCAAGCTCTACATTTCCATTTCAGGATCCATGGCAGGCTAAAATATATTGCTGCACCAGTTCTGCTCTTGTTGACAGCATTCTGATCACGTTTTTGTTCCTTCAGATTACATAGATGCTGTTATGTTAAGAGGCGTGAGATAGCTTGGGGGACTGATTGTATGAATTTAAATATGACAGCTTTTTATCTTGTTAAACTGAAGTATTGGGAGTCCGCTCAGTTCAAAGGATTGATTTGATTTGATATGATTCAAGAAACGACATCACAGCACTTGGAGCTTTCACATAAGCGCTCCGTCCCCATCTCAAGCAGCAAGCGAAGAGTTCCGATACTAATTGTGCCAGTTGCACTCTGATTAAACGTTCGTCTTGCCTTTCCTCTGAGCCTCAAGCATCTGCCAAAACCTCTCGTCACTCCGCCCTGCATCAATCTTACCAGACTGTGGTGATTCATCTGACCCTTCACTATACACGCTTTCCTACAAGGTACTAACTACGTGTGCATTATCATGTGTCAGTATTTTCCCAACAAAGACGCATCTCCTGGAGTAAATGTCCAAAGGACTCTAACTATCAGGGACCTCTTAAGGGATGCTGCGCCAAGCATACCTGTGTCGAATTTTCTCCATATGATCTTTGAGTTATCTATAATCGCGACATCTATGTAGCTGGTTCACAAGCCATCATAAATCTGCAATGATTAATTCCACCTTTTTTTCAAATTAGATGTTGTGGTATCATATATCAGACTTTATTGCACTAAGCGATGTCTAGTGCGCTTTTCCTATGAACCACCACGCACTTCTTCTGCCTATCAACACAGGGCCATTTGTAGAGACACTTGTATCACATGAATGGGCATTGTCCTAAATTTGAAAGTAAACCGGTCTGAGACGATTTTTCTTAGTTTCATTTGCAGTTTTCTTTTTAAATGCCAGCCAACGTTGGACAGCAATCAAAGACCTGCAGCAGAGGTTAAATATATAATCATAATTTTATTAGACCGAACTCATTAAATGGGACAAAGGAATAAAAAAAAGTATGGTCAACTGCTTGTATTAAAAGTTACAATAGAAAAAAAGAAAGTGGTATGGTGTACAATATCTACGCGCGCGCACACACACATACAAAGACAAAGAATCACAAGACGGTCACTGAATTAAGAAAAAAGCGAACTGAGGAAGTGGGATTGTCTTAGAAAAGCCTATCCTTGAACAAATTTTGAGAAAGACCAGTAGTACTAGACTGGATTGCACAGACAACATCAAAACGAAGGCTCCAGATGGAACAGAAGAATGATCTACCAAACTTTAAATTTTACCAAAATTTTAGAACATTTAGGTTTTTTAATCTCATGCAACGTTTCCTCATTTATATATGTTTGTTTAAACATTCTCTCTCAGATAGCATTAGCTGAATGTAAATAGATGGCTACCACTTACCTAAATTCTTCTAGATCAATTAACCCATTTTTGTTGACGTCAACAACAGACATGACAATTTCAATCAGATCCCTAATAGCCTCATCGAGGTCCATGTCCTCAGTGTGCAGAACGCATGGCTATTTTTTAATTTAACAATGAAATACATCAGGAGGTTTGCATGTATATCCATCCATCTATGTATCCATCCTTCTCTGTCTATTTGTCTGTCCGTCTATCTGTCCGTCTGTCTGTTTGATATATGTCTGTCCGTCTACTTAGTTGTCGGTCTTTCTGTCTGTGTCGGTTTGTTCCGTCTGTTCATTTGTCTTCTGTCTGTGTGTCTTTCTATCTGCCTTCGTGCCAGTCTGCCAGCTTGCATAAACGTTTATCTCTGTGCTTTTCAATACATTGCATATATATCCACCAACCAATCCATTAGTGAGCATTAATTTAAAGCTTGTTCCAGTTACTTTTTACAGAATAACATAAAAGAGTTTGGCAAATTTTAAATAAAGCATTTGGTTTGAATCAATTTTGCACAACGGGTTGATAATTAAGGTCGCCGTGGGAATGTAGGCAAGCATTCCATTACTTTGGTAGGCGGCAAATGTCGTCTGCTCAAAATGATTGTCGTTCCTCACTTAAACAACCATTTACCTCTACCATGACTTCTTCATCTGAAAAAAATTGTTACCCCTTTAGGATATAAGGGATTCTCATATCGAAAAATCAGGACTATAGGCTAAAGGTTGCAGAATTGCCAATTTTTTTGGGGGGCGTTATATCGCTTCCTGCACAATCTGTTCAACATGCGGATGAGCATTATTATATAACAAAATTACAAT